AATAGCCAAAAATAAATAAACGAGATAGCAAGACAGCGAAAGAGGGTCACACAAGAGCGTGCTTCACGGATACGGAGAGGATGTAAGTGTGAGTACGGGGCATGGCAGAGCGTGGCATAGACATGGTGTGGCGTGGTACAGAGTACAGCTAACGAGTACAGGAACCCAACCGGGCGAGGATGGAGAGGCGCATGGCAACCGCATGGGGTTATTATCCCTTTGTCACCTGGATGCATGACCATGTACGTTGAAAGGAAGCGAGACCAAACATCCAAGCCTGATCAACCGGTACCGATCCTTCAGAAGGCTTGAATGTAGTCCGTACGTACGGAGTGACTAACCAACACACATAACCTGGAAGAATAATGAGTGATAACAGCTTCTCTATCAAACATGACCAGGGAATTTAACTGTTGGGTAAATCAGCCGGTACATCCATCCAACCTCCTTGGCCGGACATACCTGTACCCTTGGAGGGAGAAGGATTGATTTTCATGATGGCAGGAAGACCGAAGCCGGGTCACAACATGCATGCGCCAGGCAGCCTATAAGACAGCATCTTGTCCATCTCTTGACCCCATCAGCACATCTATTTGTTGACGGAGTATACACATATCTGTCGACTCCGTTCCTTGACATGGGGGGGGAATCCACGTGAAAGACAGGGGGCAGGCAGGGTCAGAATCCAAGTCATCCATCTCAGAAACGAAGAAAATGGTTATCGTACATGAATATCGAAATCAAATACAGAGCTAATGCAGAGATGTGATGCATGCATGCAGATGGGTAATGGTTTCTTTTCCCAAAGGATCCAACCAGGGCAAATTCCACGTGTGGACTGGGTGTGAGGACTTTTTATGGTGATGTCAGTCCCTCCCATACACTCTTTTATTCCGTACTTACACTATGCCTATACGGAGTAACTACATGGGATGGATGGAGATGCCAGGTCTTTCATCCTTCGGCCAATCTCCTGCATCATACAAACAAACATGCGACGAGTCGTGGATGTGGCAGCGGCGGCTCCGTGGCCAGTATTCGTCATACAACAACTTGACACATGCTGATTGACTTCCAGAGACACAGACACTGGGACGCCAGGGAGAAAGATGTTGGATCACTTAAACTGAATACGTCGTCGTCCTTGGTCGATCTGCTGGCCTAGCGTTAACAGTGCTCTTTTTAAGTAACGGATGGACCTTTTCTTCCTTTTTTTTTTTCTTCTTCTGCGCTCTTTCATCTCCAAAACTAAACATGGACCGTACCGAGAACCTGATGATACGCCACTACAAGTCGTATTTGCAATACAGAAAAAGCAAATATTCATGAGGTGAGTATTCAAATCATTTGTCGAAACGAAAAAGGAAAAGAAAAAAAGTGGAAAAGAAAGAAACACAAAAGCGAAAAAAACCGAGCAAACGGGGGCTAAAATACGAGAATATGTCACAGAAAGCGGATGATTGGCCTGCACACGCCTTTTCCACGTGGAAATCAGCCTAAAAAGGGAGACGAAGAAGAAAAGAAGAAGAAAAAAGAGACTTTGGCTGGTCTAATCTTCCCTTGCCCGTCCGCGCGCGGTTTACCTGACTGGCGGTACCTCTGCAAACTCAGCAGGCGAGACGAAGAGTCAAGCGAGAGAGCTAGTGGAAGGATGAGGATGAGCCTGAGGATGAGGCTACAAGGCAAAATGAGGATGTTATTAATAGGAAGAGGTCGGTTAAGGAGCATTGTCAACCATCCATTAATACGATGCAGATGATCAGACGGACTATCGGCTTGGAAGGTCGAAGCTCGAAGTTGATAGCTCAGAGCTCAGGAAACTTGTCTTCTCATGGAAGGTCGAGCAGCCTAGAAGCTGGAGATTATACATAATTCTCTCGTTCGACCCAAGGAAGCCTATGAAAATTGGAGCGGAAGATGGACTAGAAGACGCCTTATCTCCATCCGTCCGTCTTGGAGAGCCCAGCACGGACCGTCCTCTGAGTTGAGGATGAGAACGGCTAAGACGGCGATGAACAGCGCAACCTGCCTAAGCAAGTTAGAGTACGGAGATCCAGTTAAGACGGCCCTCAATCTGGCGACTGCTCAGGATAAACTCATCATTAGGCTGGACATAAGTACTCTAAGAAGTGGAATAATGGACCCCCAAGGAAGGTCGAGAAGAATCAGAGTGGATGCGGACAGCGTTAACACCTGTTACTTCTAGTCCAAGGACCGGCGATCTGCGAACAGCCGCATCACAACCAAAGCAACGAACTTTGACAAACCATCCGCACTACCAATTATTAGGAACACCACGCAACTCCTGTGATAACCTGAGGAGACGAGTGATATATCTGTGTCCATCACGCCATCGCCGAGAAGCAATTTCCACCTTGTCAGCCACGTTTCGCCCGTTGGTGCGGATCAAAACAACTTTATTCTGCAGCAGGACGAGGATAAGCACTCAGGACACATCAGACAAAGGTGTGTCATGTAGAGGTCTTTGGTTTGACATATACCCGTGGTCAAGCCCTCGCGCAGAATTTTACTGGAGGTAAAAGAGATGATTACACTTTCTTACCTTTTTACTCTATCTTTCTTATCTTTCTCATTCTACGCAGTGTCTCCTTCATATTCTCTTAACCCTTTTAATAATACGTACAAGAGAAGGCTTTCCCCCTTATTCTAAGGGAATATACATACTCCATTGACTCCCTAACCCCCATGATATAATCTAACTAACCTTTATTCAACCCACTAGTTATGGGTGAGGAGGGAACCACAGTCAGTTCTCACAATGATAGGTGTTTACATGGGTAGATATGCAAGTACGTGTTCCCGACATCTCACCGGGCCATCCGTGTGGAGAGATAGCAATATTTACACGTGGAAATGATACGGACAGACGGGTTTTGCCCGTCCAAGCCGCTTCATCGATGGATGATTTTCCTTACCTACATATATGAAGGGGAAGAAGTCGCTGGAGCCGCTGGAGCAGTTACATCATCATGAAGCAGATCTGATGAGACGGGAGCCTGAACCCTGTTAACGTGGTATGCGGGATCGATGTGCCGATAAGCCACTATCCCCGTCGAGGGTAGCAGTTGCAGCGAGCAGATGTTCGATGCAACGGCCACCAAGGTGCGCGCGGCGTTTCAACAGGATGTTCGTCCGGGTTCGTCCTGTCTTGTGGGCGGTTATGGTTATGGTTAAGGAGATGGAGATGAATATGGAGATGGCTCAGGGTCAAGGATGGGGAACGCCGGTCAGGTAAGCATCATGTAAGAAATATAGAGGCCCGACTCTCTTACACTTCTCGTGCCTCAGGCCCTCCCTCGTTATTATGGATGCTCCAGGGATCACGCCGATCGGGGCAAGCACCATCGGCTTCCCCGGCGGCGGGCGGCTTCCAATTTTTCCCTCGCTGCTTTTCTTGTCACCTCCTGGATCATCACGTTACGAATTACCGCAAGTTCTCTCTCTTGATCTTTTTACGTGTCCCGGCAGTCAGGACGGGGTCCCGCCAGCTGGTTGGTCTCGTTTTCTTTTTAGGTCGTCTTTATTTTGTTTTATTTTATTTTTATTTTTTTATTTTTTTACTTGCGACGAACCCAAGCCAGCCAGATATAAAATACATCGTATTACGCCAGTGTAAATTGTTGCAGCCCCTGTGTATTAATCGTATATATACTTATTTGAGCGATAGGCAAAAGTATGACATTTTTAGAACTCATGCTAGCCGCATTAGGGAAAACTGGGCATTTCTTTCGTTTGCGTGTACGGGCTGATACAAGGGGCCTTTGCTTTTGCCCAAACAGAGTAAGGGTAATGTTACCTGGGATGGCCGCATCGGGCGAGATGAGACGACTCTGCCCCCTTTGGGTCTGGTTCCTGACATCGGTACCCCCTTTTTCACACACAATACAGGCTCCAGAAGGCCTCGGAGTCGCAAGTCTGAATACCCACTGATCCTCACTCTAACCCAACACTTCTTAGTCCATCTCGATAGGCAGAGCGAGAGCAACATGCTTGTCTAGTTAGTCTCCATCCTTCACCGTTGAAATCCTGGCCAAGGAGTTGGGCGAGGTGGTATTAAAATAGCATCACCTAGGTATTCTCGCTGCTTCAAACGATGCCCTTCTGGTTGTCGTATTTTATACTCCGTGCTCCGTCGAGCCCATTTATTATCTAACACCCCAGCACGGAGGATTACCCCTAGTTGTCACTTAAGTACTCTGTAGTATTACTTGACAGGTACTCGGAGGTCGGGTTAGATCATGTGCTTGACAGAGCCTGTTCCATCGCTCGTTATTAGCTCAAGAAGCAACAAGTAAGAGACTGTGCCTTGCCTTGCGCTTCCGTTGACCTGATTCTGTCTCTGCCCAACCTTTTTTTTCTTTTATTGAATCTTCCCCCTTTCTCGTGGCTTCAGCCAACGTGCATATCTTATTTCTCCGCTGCTTTGTTCCCGCCTGTACTTACATACATGTGAGCTATCTCATGACGAGAGGGAGATCAGCAAAGATGAAACACGCTGTTCGCGATCAGCGAGATCCCGACTTCCCCCGCCGATCAAAGCGTCGGCACGAAAAAAGGAGAATTACTCGAGTGCTGGTTGGCCACAGCGGCCCCTTTGATACACGCGGCGTCGCTCCACCAATTACGGGAAAAGGAAACTGCTTGTTTTAACTCATTGGCTGGGCAAGTGTGGAACCCCCTGCAAGACAAGCTTTCCTGCCAAGGCCACGCTTGGACCCTCAGACCCCGATCTGGCCGCCCCGCGCGCCTCTGCCCCAGAGGTACTTCCGCGCTCGGCTGAAGTGTTACTGCGGCGGAAGTACCGCGCGCCTTCTGGCATCCCTGCTTCGACCTGCCGGATCGGGCACACGCCCTTCCAAGAGCCCTGAACCGCTGGACCAAGCGCAGGGTGAACCAGGGAACCAAGCGCCGTTGCGTCGGAGCACAATGCTGCAGTCAGAAGGTCAATAATGATAATCGTTGGTCTGTCCTGTTCAAACAAGGAAGCTGACCGTGGTCTTGTGGAAGATGTTGGTTTTTTGCCATGTCGCTCCTCTTTCACCTGATACAAGGGAAAAAAAGCAATCGTCTTTACACATCAACCTTCATACGTAATGCGCGGTGATCTTCCCACTTTTCACGTGGAGGGCAAAGCGCCATGAAACGTCGGCTGGTCCCTCCTGCAAGTCGATCACAGTGGGCACTGACCATGCTTCTTGTTTGCCTCCTGGTGTGAAGTATTCTGGACATCTCTTCCATACCTTACACATCTCTCCCGGGGAAGTACTCCGTCTGCTGCAGGAAAAAGACGATTTAGTATTTAATTCCCGATCAATAGCCTTTAAAGCTTATTGATCACTCATCCGTCTCTCCCAACCAGCAAACAGCACACCGTTTCTCTCCATCTCTCTCGTGAGGGGCAGTGGCTGGTCTCACGTGTGGAATGCGACGATGTTTAATTAATTACGTACATGATTGTGTGAGGGGCGGTCAGGGAGACGAGCTGCCTCGATCGAAGCCTTGAGGCTGGCTCTGCTCTCTCGTTCCAATTTAAAATATCCAGTCTGGCCTCGTATTGCCGAGGCGTCAGGACGGGCGGCGGTCCCATATGTTTATACACAGCAACTCTCTTTTCTTGGAATGCAGTTCAACGATGGTGCTCCATAGCCCCCGTACGCTCCGTGTAAATTAATACTTACTATCCGTAACGACTCCCAAGGTCAGTGGGTAGTGGATGGGCCAGGACGTTTATGGGCTTATGTCGATCAGGTGACCCACTGTCCCCCAGGCTTCTCGTGGTCCTGCTGCCAACATCGACGACGCCAACAACAACAACAATAACAACAACAACAGCTTCAGCTTCCGACCTCACAACCTCAAACCTCCAAGGCGACGGAACAGCCCTTGTGCGACGTCGTTTGAGCCCTTCCAAACGTGCTGGCCGCTGATCTTGACGGAAAAGAGTTTAAGATGGCCGTCCGTGGCGTCCTTTCGTTGGAATAACAAGAAGGTTGGTCTTGTTTAACTTCTCCTCAACCTGTCTTTTCCTGCCCACCTCCCACAAACCAGCCACAGCAAGAAAACAAACTAGGAGATGTTTCATAC